GAAAATAGAAGTGAGACACAAATGTGGAGATTTGGACATCTGTATTCACAGCAGCGTTAGTAAGAAAAGCAAGAAAATGGAAATAGCTCTAATGTCCATCAAGAAACTAATAGATTGAGAAATTATGGTATATTCATATAATGGAATACTACACAGCACTAAGGAGGAACAATTTTATAAAATAATATATAACATGGGAGAATATGCAGCATTAAGGAGCAACAATTTTGTAAAATACTATAGAACATGGGAGAATCTAGAGCGCATTATGCTGAGTTAACTCGGTTTCATAAGGGTAAATACTGCATAAGACCATTAGTATAAAAACAGAAGGAAAACTAGGAAGGTGTGGATAAAAGTCCAAAAGTGGAAAGAAAGGGGTTGGGAAATCACTAGGATAGAGTAAGGGGGTGGGGGGTGTGTCAGTGAAGAAATTAGTAAAGATCTAAATGGGACCTGAAAAGATGGGTAATAGGAGGCACAGATCAATGGTGATCAATTTTACAAAACACAAAGTACATGAGTGATCATTTGAAACACAATGTGAATGTAATAATGTGTGAAACATAATCTATATGAATGATATACATTGTATACGAATTTTGTATGTAAACCAATATAAAATAAAGTGGAGGGGACAGAGGACTTAGAAAATAGTTTCATAAGCAAGAGTAAGATACTCAATTATCTTCATTCTCATCGTCATCATTTTAGTAATTAATAGATGACTTAAGATCTTTCTCTTAAAATCTATTTCTGTGTTTGTGCTTATACAAAGGTGCACACACACAACACATTTATTTCTCTCTCTCAAAGCAAAGTAGACTAAGTTAAGAAAGGGAAAACCCAGCAAGGAGGAAAAAACTCACTGTCGGAGGCGGAAGAGGAATCATCTTCATTGTCATCATCTTCCCATCGGGACTGAAAGTCCCCTGGGCGAAGCAGCACTCCGTCTGACTTAGAAGTAGACAAGACGAACATGGACTGGGAGAGGGGTGTTTTCTGCAAATTAGACTTGGAAAACAAGGTCTTGAGCTTTGATTTCTTTTTCTTGTCTTTTGCGGGAAACTCATCATCACTATCAACTGAGAGTGTCATGCTGGGGACAATGGCAGAAGCAGAATCGGAAGTACTATCCTTATTCTTCCCCTTGATCTTGTCCTTCAGTTTTCCAAATGGGTTCCGAGATTTATCTGTCATGGAAAGGTCAAACATGCTGGCAGTCATGTTGTTTCTCATAAACTGGATGTCAACTTCAATTTCTCCTCGCTCTTTATCCTTCTTTCCTGGTCTGGATTTCAATTTATACCACCTACAAGACAAGAAAGAAGGCTGAGAGGTTACTGTAGAACTAAAGAATGTGAAATAAATCCACCAGGTGCTCCATTGGAGAAAGAGGGGCAATCTCCTTCTGTATCAGTAGGATCTGACTCGATGTTATTTAAAAACACACACACACACATACACACATACAAAAAGAACACACAAACAAGGAAAAAGAAAGAACAAACAAATAAGACAAAAGAAAAACAAACAAGGGGAAAAGAGAAAGAAACAAACAAGGAAAAAAGAAAAAATGAGAAAAACAAGGAAAAAACTAACATAAAAAGAAAAACAGACAAGAAAAAAGAAAAAACAAAACAATGTGAAATATTTTTTTAAACTGTAGTAAATGTTTATACATTGGAAGAATTTTACAACCATAACTGGCCTCTGCTACTACCATCTTCATAGGCAAACACAGTCTTATGTTCTATTTCTGCAGGAACCATGGAAGAAGGAATGAGTAGAGTTTTTTAGAAGTAATGCATTAGGCAAAAATCTGGTCTGACTCAGAACTTAGGTTATAATCACTTATAATTATGATCTAGTTAATTAAAAAAACCCAATTTATTTTAATGAAAAATAAATATTCTATAATTTCTTATGTTGGTATTTTCTTTAAAAAGGGTAAAAATTTGAAAATCACATACAAACAGCTAGGAAGGCTGTGTTCAAATCTTGGAAAAAAAGCCCAAATCTCAGAAAAAAACCAAGAGCTTGTAATAACAAATAGTCCCCATCAGGAAGTAATGAAATGTAAAAGATGGAGACTGAAAAAGAGAAAAATACAAAAAGAAGCATTCCTGCCTAGATAAATCATGAGGAAAAATGAACATTTTAAACACGAGATATTTAGTAATTAAAACTCCTTCAAGATGTAGCAAATGGTATCCTAGCAATCCAATTCCATGGACTGGAGTTCACAGGCAGGTAAGTAAGCATTGACAGGCGTGTCTCAAAAGTACTCTTTCTGCAGCTGAAGCAAACTGTTTTCCTTTAAGATATTCTAACAGGAAACTAGGAAAACTATGACTTCAAACTTGAGCATCTATTAAATGCTAAACATGTAAAGAACTCTCCTTTGGCATTCATCTTCCTCTGGGAATCAGCTATCTCGGTGAACCATAAGAATTTGAGCCTGTTAGGGAACATAACCACCAAGAGGACAAACATTTCTCAAAACAGGATCTATTGAGAGCCATCCATAGGTCACTCTCATCAACTGAGAACCTACATTCTGATGTTCTTGCCAGTGACCTATTTAAAGGTTGAGTGACAAAGACCTCAAGGAAATTAGTTTGTCCAAAATACAACTTCCTCTTTTACCTTCATCTGTGCTCTGCTCACAGGGCTGATCCCTGATCCCAAGATCTCAGGTTCATTCTACGCTTAGAGAAGAAGGGGCAAAGGGAAGGAGATGACGAATGTGTAAAGGGTTCCCACTATATACCTGACACTGTAAACGTTTAGAAGCATCTTCATTTAGGTCTTAAGAAGGTGGACATTCTACCCATTTCACAGAGGAGGAAACTGAAGCTCAGAAGTTAATTTGAACCAAGACACATAACTGTAGGGCACAAAGATTCTGTAACAGTTCTGCTTTTCTCCAAAATTCACATACTCTCTCCTCCTTTCTGCTCTCTCTCCTAATTTATCTTGCAAGGGTCACTTCTGCAACACACAGAAAGAAGGGCTCATATGTAAATGCTTTTGGGGGAAAGTTTCAACTTTGGTTTGATTTTTTAAAAATTTTTTTTTTTCTTTTATTACTATTTTGTGTGTGTACCGTCAAATCAGATCTGACTGGTACAGGAGGAGATTGTCCCTCCTTCTCCAGTAGAGCATCTGGTGGATTCGAACTGCATATCTCTGGGATTGCAGTGCAGCTTCTTGCCACTAGGCCACCAGAGCTCGCGGGGAAGTTTCAACTTTAAATTTAAATATGCCAAGATAAAAGAAAACCCAAAGCGTGTCAACTGTGTAAAGTCAATAAATGAAGTCATCTAGTCTTCCTTTAAACTAGATTAACACAACACTTCCAAGATCTGATGTCAATTTTAGACTTTTAGGGAAAATCCTTCACTTCTTAAAACCACAATCCATAGCTTGAGGGGAAAGCAGGGTTGCCAACTGACTGTCTTCATAGACAACTTCACCCTAGCCAGCCTCCAATATTATTTTCCAGGGCCCTGGTCCAGAATTGTTTGCATATTTTTCAATAGATGTTGAGAGGATTTATTTGTATTTTTTTCCCCCTTCTTGCAGTCATGTGCTAAACGGTAGCCTAGGTGATGAAAGGTTTTTGTAAATACCAACTGCAGGCACCTGGAGAAGGGGAAGCCATGAGAGCTTAAAGCAGAGGCTCAGATGGCAAAGGCACCTCAGGCAGCAGGTGCTCACCTTTCAGCCCTGGGGAGGAGGGTCCTCTGTTAGTGCTCACCAGGGAAACAAAGCCAGTATAGGCCTTCAAAGAAGACCACTTAACAATTCGGTTTACCTTCCCAAATGGTGTCAGGACCTACATCTGTTTATGTGGAGGGAAGATATGACCAACTAACTCCAGAGTGCTCCTCAGGGATCTATTACTGCCTGATGCTCAAATCCAATCCCCAGGCACTAAAGTGGAATTTGTTTTGGAAACTTCCAACACCACTAGGAGGTGTGAACAGAAACTGTACAAACTGTACTTGCTGCTTATTTTTACAAGCATCTGTGTAAACCTAAAACCAAACACCAAGTAGCCAAGAACAGGGTGGTTTTAGTACAGGAAAAACAGACTGGTTTATAGGCAGGTAAGCAAGCATTCCATGCAAATATTTAGAATTTTTAAAAATCTGTGATAGATTTATTAAGCCTGGAAAGAAAGGAAGGCAAGAATCGTGTCTCCTTTTGCCTACAATCCTTGTCATCTTCTATTTAGCTCTCTTCATGCAGAAGAAGGGCTATCATTGCTGATGTGAGATGAGAGCTGAGACTTTCAGAAAGATGCTCACTTGTGTTCTGTTGATCATGCAAAGGCATTCAACTGTGTGGGCCATTATAAGTTATGGATAACACTGAGAAGAATGGGAATTCCAGAACTACAGAACTTTTAATTGTGCTCATAAAACACGTGTACGTAGACCAACAGGCACTCAATCAAACAGAACAGGGATATTACATGACTTAAAACAAGGAAAGGTATGCATCAAGAGTGTATATGTTCACTATACCTATTCAATCTGTATGCTGAGCAAGTAATTCAAGAAGATGAATTATTATGTAGAATATGACATCAGGACTGGAGGAGGATTCATCAACAACCTATGTTATGCAGACGACACAACTCTGCTTGCAGAGAAAGAACAAATGAAGCATTTACTGATGAAGCATAAACACTATACCTTTCAGCATGGATTATACCTCAACATAAAACATAAATCCCCACCTCTGGACCAATAAATAGCATCATTGTAAGTAGACTAAAGATTGCCATTGTCAATGAATTAATTTTACTTGGATCCATTATCAACACCCAGCAGTCAAGAAGTGAAATAACACACTGCAATGGGCAAATCTGCTGTCACTTTAAAGTGCTGAAGAGAAAGGATGTCACTTTAAGGACTAAGAAACACCTTGCACCAATCATCTTATAGACATGTGAAATGATGCCTTTGACTTGTGATGCTGGTGAAAAATATCTAATATACCATGGATTGTCAAAAGAATAAATCTATATTACAAGAAGTACAACCAGAATGTTCCTTAGAAATAAGCATAGTGAGACTTTGTCTCACTTACTTTGGGCATTTTATCAGGAGGAATCCATCCCTAAAGACATTATGTTTGGTAAAGTAGGGATGAGCAAAAAAAGAAGAACCTCAACAAAATGGACCGACAAGTAGCTGCCACAATGGGCTGAAGCCCAGAGACTGAGGACAGCAAAGGCTCAGGTAGTGTTTCTATTGAACATAGCATTGTTATGAGTCAGTCAACTCAAAAGCACTTGCCATGGGTTGAATTGTGTCCCCCTACAAAACATATGTCATGATACTCAGTATAATGTAATCACCCTGAGTATTATAAATCCTAACTTCTGTGATGTTAATGGGGCAGGAATGGAGGCAATCACATAATGATGTAGTCATTCTTCATCATGTGATCTGAGGTGTGACCAGCCAATCACATGTAAAAGGATTAGGATGGGAAGTAACATTCTAATTAAGCCAAAACCCTAACTGGATAAAAGGAGAGTTTCACTGGGGTGTGAACTGAAACACAAGATAAAAGGAGAAAGTAAACAGAGAAGGAGAGCATCAATACCACCAAGAACAAAGTGAGGAGAGTACACCCTTTGGAACCAGGTCCCTGTGCTGGGAAACTTCTAGACAGAGGGAAGGCCAAGCAAGACAAGGAATTCTTGAAGGTAGGCAGGGTTGACAGATGGAAGGAAATAAAGACTGTGCTCTGGAACCAAAAGACAGAGAAGAGATGCAGAGAACATAAAGACAGAGGTCTTTTCCTAGAGGCCACCTGGGCTTCTAGCCTCCTAAATAGAGAGGATAAACATCTGTAGAGGCCAAATACTTGTGGGCACTTCATAGAACTAACAACACAATCCTTACCATTACATTTTAAAACTGTTTAAGCAAGGCATATCTGACTTGAGCATAATATATTAACAACAGTGAAAGCCACAGTCCATGACTGGCTCACCCTGAGAAATAACAAACCAGACTATTTTTGTAGGTTTTAACATTTAAGCATCAATTTGATTTTAAATGTTTCTGTCCATTTATTTGGTTTTCTGCTTGTTTGGGGTTCCCCCCCCCACCCCCGAGTTCACTTAGCCCTGGACCTCAAGCAGTAGTTCATAAATAATAAAGACCCAGCACAGCCTGTAACTGCAATACAGGCATGTTTTAGTATTACCTTTCAGGTAGGGCCAGGAAGCTTAAGCTATCTCAGAAATCAGGGCTAGCCCCATTTTCCTGGTCCAAAGGGCAGAGC